TGATGGAGCATCCACTGCCTGAGGGAAGAAGAGAAAAATTCTTTAAACTCCTGTAAATGTTACTAATGTTTGGAACACAAACACAGGAATTGAGAAAGAAATCAAAGAATAAATGGGACAGGAGAAAATATCAGCTTTCAGAAAAAAGAGGGACATGTTTTTGTTGGACTGTTTCTATAGAAGGACGGGCAATTTCTCAGCCCCTCACATTGTCCATAATTCTCACCAGCTGCTGTTCCTGTTTGTCATTCACTGCTTGGCTCAGGAGGAAACCTTGCACCGGGGACACCGCCTGGGAAGTGGATTCCAGCCTACTATCTCTCACCCAGATCCCCATCTCGGGCGGCAGGACAACCAGGAACTGTTCAAGGATCACCAAGTTCAGCAATGGGAATTCCTCATTGCTCCACACCTCCATGGCATCTGTCTTGTCTCCCGGGCTCAATGCCAAGAGAATATTGTAGGCTTATCTCCTCCAAAAGAGCCAAAGTTATGGAACGAATAGGCTTTATTCTTCTATCTGTAGGAAAAGCATAAAAAAAAGAGATTTGGATTAAAAAAAGACATGGAAAGGCTGTCATGTTCAATGCCCCAATCCAAGAATGGCTCCAATTGACAAATCACAGGATAAAATACATCTTCCTCCCCATACAACTCTCTAGACTCTGTGTCCCTGCTTTATATTTCCTGAAGGCTGAGAGGAAGACACATACCAAGATACACCGGAATGAAGATGGAAAGGGTTTTTGGAGGGAAAAGACAGCTGTGACATGGAAGTGTATTTGGTTGTCAGGCTATTTTGGGGGGTAAGGAATAATGTTATCAAAGCTCTCACGAGGCCTTGCCAACTAGGCATATCATCATGATTTCCACTCATAGAGACGGAAATGAAAACGAGAAAAATAAGTATCTGTATTAAAAGAGAGAAAGAAACATTTACTGCAGTTGCAATAAGACCGTGGAACAGCAAAGCCAAGAAAAACGGGGGCGAGAGGATGGGAAATGAAATGTATATGGAAGGGATGAACTTAAAAGCCAATAAAGGAAGATGCCACATTAAGTTTCCAAAGCCTGACTAAGGACTTGATACATCTAAGCAGATTCAATGGCCAGGCCAGAGCGGGGCATAGGAATATGGGAGGCTTCAGCCCATTAGAAGGAAGCAGTTTTTCTAGGAACCTGGGAAGTTCCTCGGGGTAACAAGATTCTGGATGTCTTCATTGTGGGCTGGGAGGAACAACCTGAAAACAACTTTATTTCTCATCGGGACTCACAAGCCCCAGTGCTGATGCTCCTCACCATGCCTTTCCTTCAACAGGCAAAGAGGTTGTGGGGTATACAAAGGTTCCCACCCCTCCCTCCTCTGTGGGGCGTCCCCAGGGAAAAGATGCCCGGGCTCTTTGGCCGTGTTCTGAAGGTTGTTCTTCCTGACGTTTCGCCAGTCTCTGTGGCCGGCGTCTTCAGAGGACAGCAACCTGTACCTGAGAGACAGGCTGATTGACCTCAACTCTAATTCTTGGCCCCCGAAGAATGCTAAAGGATCAACAGATTCCATCCACCGAAATGAAAAGCATTGCAGCTTTTTTTAAAATCAATTCTAACAAGTGATCATCTGCCTTTATACAGAAAGGGACATAAATCTTTTTATAACCACCTGCTTGGGGTCCCGCACAAACCCCTCAACAGGATGAACTAGAAACACAACCACCCCATTCAGACAACACAGGTGTGTGTGTGTGGGGGGGGTCCACTTTCCTGATCCTCCCGCCCCCATCTTCCCAGTCTGCAGAGGCCTCTTCCCAGTCCTCCCCCACCCTCAATGCAGGCGCCACTCACTGGGAATCTGGTTTCCAGCCCCCCCTCCCAGTTGAAGGGTGGGAAGGATCCATGGGGAGGGAAGGATGGAAGGGAGACTGACTCTTCCAGGGACCCCCCCTGCCTGCTGAATCTCTTTCCTCCTCCAAAGCCGGGCCAAGCCAAGGCGATCTGCCCCCCATCGCCTCCCTCCTTCTCCCCCCTAAAGAGCTCACCTCCTTCCCGACCCCCGAAAAAAGGAGGCACCTGGGACTTGGACGGGAAGGGGAAAAAAGAAGCACCCGCGCTCGGAGCCGGAAACCGGAAGTGAGCCTCCAGCGTCGCTTCTCACCTTCCTGAGGGACGCTCTGGGATTAGCTAGTCAATGAGCTTAACCCTTTGGGAGGGAAACATAACCGTGGAATTGGGCAGTACAGGAGCCCCAAAGGATGAAACATCCTCCCATTTATGGGATCCTATTTTCATATAAAAGAAAAGCGTGCAACAGATGGATGTGTAGCACTCTCTGGATTTGTTAGTTAGTCTGATAAAAGTATAGCTTCCTCTTGTGTTTGTGTCGTTTTAAGGGCCACAACGCCTTTTCCTAATGGTTTAAAACAGTGGTTCTTAACCTTTGTTGTCTGATAAAAGTATAGCCTGCTCTTGTGTGTGTGTCGTTTTAAGGACCACAACGCCTTTTCCTAATGTACATATCACAACCTTAGTGATTTAAGTAAAATTGGACACTACTGTACACTGTGTGTAGAACTTGAGTACTTTTCTCCAGCGCCAGCGCAGGAGCTGTTCGAAGAACTAAAGAATAATTCAAACGTCTCTTTGAGGCCAGATAAGAACAAAAGGTGATACTGTATATTCATCGATCAAGGTAGGGCTTCCACAACATAAATGAACTGGATCCAAAGACAGAGTGTCTAAAAAACCCTAAAATCATATTCAAATATAAATACCGAAGATCACTGTGCGGATCCACCCTTCCACTGCCTCTTTTGAGCAAACCTATTGGAATTCGATTAACCTAAACCAAGGTGGCAAGATCCTGCCCACCAGTTGCCAAAGAAACTTTCTTTTCCATTGGAGACTTTTTAAAAAGGTCCTTTCCCAAAACCGAGGAGGTCCTAATACTGCCTTATAGCTGGGGGTGGGGGTGGGGGACCCAGTTCTGCACAGCTTCGGGCAGCAAAATGTTTGGGGTCGCCCCCCCCCCCAGGAAGCTCAATCAACCAGCAGGGCAACAGAAGGCCTCGCCCTCTGAGGATGAATAATGGCGGAGGGAGGGGGAGGACAAGGAACCCTCCCTTGCTTTTTCTTCCTCTCCTGCTTCTACCCCAAACTCACTTTCCCAGACGCCCCTGCGACACCCAGAAGCGGAAAGGAGCCTATCAGGTGCCAAAGGTCGACGAGGACACTTCTTCCGGAGAGAGGGGCCGAGACAGGAAGTAATGCTCCAAACATGGCGGCCCACTCTTTTCCTCTCTAGGAATTCAGCTCTGAGAACTTAACCCTTAGAAAGGTAATTGGGAGGACCCTTTCTCTCTGTCACTCCATCAGAGCCGCCGTGCCTCGCAAGACGAATGGTTTTGCCGACCCAGGAGGTTTTGGTGACTCGCAAGACGAGTTTTTTGTTTTGAAACTCAACCGTTAATACCCAGCATGCCTTGTGCCGGGAAGGTTTAAAAAGCCTCCCCACAGGGCAGCCTGGGTCCACTTTTCCACGTGCAGTTTCGAGTTGGACTTCAAAGAGAGGAGCTGCTGTGTGATCTGCGAGGTGAGCGCGTCCTGTGTTTGGAGAAATTTGGAGAAAGGTTTTCAGAACTTTTTATTTTGCCAGCAAAAAGTAAGGTGTGCATTTGTTCTTCTGTGTATGGGGGTGGGGCTGTTATGCCTTTCTTTTTTTGTAAGTTGCAGAGGAAAGGTAGGGGGGCTTAGCTTGTGTTGGGGGGGTGTTGTGCCACTTTTATTATATATATT